TTGAAAAAGTAAGCGGTTTAATTTCTTGTTCTATGATCAGAGCTCTGTACAGCTTATGGCGGAGGACGAACATATTATGCAATGCATGTACAATTAATGTACAGTTAGGCATTCCTCTGAAGCTTACGTCTAAAGCTAAAGATGCTCAGTTTTTAACATGACTTTATCCAAGAATATGTATGATTAATGAAGTAAAATTTGCTTCAGTCCAGTAAATGTTTATCTTGAAAAATTACTAATAGTATAAGAGTTATTCTTACATTTTACTTGCATAAAAATCAGTAAAGATTGAACAGTAACTACAACCTGAAGGTGGTTGTTTTTATAACTGAACTAAAGACTTTTTCTTGCTAAAAGCTAGTCAGACGACAGAAGACCACATTTTTGATCATAATTTAAAGGCCTTAGAAATAGGCATATCAAATATGATACAGTAGGGTTAATAGCTATAAGAATGAATTCTCATAAATGGTAGTATGCATGCAGTATGATAATAGTTTGACTGTTGAGTACAGTTTTGTCCAGTAGATGGCAGAAGGATACAGCACACTATGTTCTCTATTACTAGTCAGGCAGCTCAAGAGGATGTCATGGCCTTCATCATTATATGTGTGCTGTGTTGAAATGATACTTGGCTGCTGTTTTAATTGACTTTTATATGCAAACAGTATGAGCTATCATGAGATATCTTTAGCTAATTATATTGCCTTATTTAATGTTTAAAGTTTATGCTGTCCACAGTATCTACAGTTGACTAATTAGTAGCTTGAAATAAGAGATAATTAGCAGAAATAAAAAAACTGATATTGACTGATTCGTATCATCAGTAAATCCAAGTTCAGTCAAAGTGGAGTTTAATGCATGCATACACTGACTTAATGAGCAGAGAAGATGGATTTAACGATCCTAGTTCCGTGCTGACATATTTCTGACATTATGTGTGGATATATTGATGTGTCTTTTACATGTGCAGTGCTGTTTTGCGTGCAATTAAAAATTGTGTAAAAACCAAAGTGATAGGGGAAAACTTTTTTTTTTTAATTACAATTATTCTGCTGCATTCAACCATTTACTTCAAAACATGGAATGTTCAGGAAGCGGAATATTTTACATTTGGCCTTATTTATGTGATCCATTGCTGTGATTTGGTTTTATTCAATTAATTTCTTCCTGAAACAACTTCCTGTACTATAGCTTTCAGTTTTGCAGCACTGTAGGAAGCAGCTCTCAGGGTAATAACCCATGAGGATGAATACATGAGAGCGGCAAACGTGGAGCACTGCTGCTGACCACCTCTGTCTGATACAAAGAAAAAAATACACAATAGAAAAACAGTCCACACACAAAAGAGCTGCATTCATTCCATGTTATTTCAACTCACAATCAGGAATATTCTGACTTATCTGCTCTATCCTGTGTTGTCTATCATCATTCACACATTTTCAGTCAACAGTTGCTTAACAATGCTTTCCTTTCAGCTGAATTAATTCAGAGATCTATTGATTTATTTTTTATCTTTATCTTGCTAAAGATGAAGGGGTCTTCCAACAGGAGGTCTGCACTGGCACTGCAAGGAGTCCACTAATTATTGTCACTTTTAAAGTGAATGTGAAGTTATTCTGTAATTCTGTTTGGATAATATCAAACAAATCAAGACTGCTGTTGTGAATACAGTTATTGTGGCACAATTCAATAAGCAGGAGGTTAATAATCAGTAACTTACATTTTAGACACATTACTACTATTTTGCTCCGCTAAGGACAATAGTTCCAAATGAAGCAGAACCAACTTCTGCATCTTGCAGTAACAGTTTCATTCCTGAATTAATTGTGTTTGCGAAAATTGGCTGAGTGAATAATTCAATGAATGACTCATAAAGACAGTCACGTGTTTTGTTGCTAAATGAAAGCAACACACTCTCTCTGCAATTCATAGCTTTTTGGCAAATTGGTGGGTAATTTGTCTTGAGTTTGCATGATCTGCTAATGCCCCATCTCCTTACTGTTAGGTTTAACCTTCATGCTCATGTTTTTTCTTTTTCTAAAAATTCACATCAATCACAATCACATCATACAAAATCAGCATCTTGTAAGTTAGTTACCTTTGCTCATGCGATTGGGGTGAATTAATTCGTTTTTGAATGAATTGGTTGAATTAATGATTCAGTGACTCACTTTTCACCACCTATTGGCGATGTAACCTATAGAAAGAGATACTGAAAAACCCCCAGCACTAATACACTATTATACACTGACAAGTGGTGTGATAGGAACAGTGAAATGTCTCAGGGCTGTTGCACTGTTATAGCAGCCTGTGAATGCTGCTCAACCAGTTGAATTTGAGGACTGAAAATAACTTTTGCATAATGAATATTTGAAAATGAAAATAATTTCTTTACAGTATGTCATTAACCAGTGTTATTTCAGTATCATTGAGATACTATTATAGTTTCTATAATCTTTTTTATTTATAGCTTTTTTTTTGTTTTAGTTATAATTATTTTAGCACATCAAGTCAAACTAAATGAAAATGACATGCACTGGCAACTAGCTGAAGTATAAGTTTGTTTTTTATATTATATTTTATTTCATCAAGTTTTTTATGGTTTTTGTTTGAGTATTTACAATAACTGTTATGAACTCATTTTTATCCAGTGTGTAACAGGGTCTCTGCTCCGCCTCTTGGCCTAAAAGAAAGTTCGAAGACCCATAAAGGCATCCGTTTGGTGTTGTCACTATTATTTCTCCATTTAATAAACCTGGTAGCTTGGCAGACCCTGAAACAAAAGATAAGTTGATACGTCGAGTCATTTTCAGTCCAGATGTAATACTGCCATGGTAGTGTGCCTGCAGACTGAGCAGCATATTCTATTATGTTTGCACAATAGATCTGAGACCTTTGAGCTTAACCTGAGTCTGCAGCCTGCAGCTTGAGAGATGAAGAGAGGAAAGCGTCTTAGTTACTCATTTGTAGGGTATTGTACAGTGTGTCTTTCACATTTTCTGTCATCCTCCTTGTGAATCACTGGCCTGTTATCGAAGCTGTGTTTGTGTAGTTGCTGTCTTTGATGTATTGGGATGGCAGACCATTGAAAACATGACTATCTATCATAGAAAGACATTTAGTGGAGAGGGGGAAGAAAGAGAAAAACTCTAAAGGATGTACTGAGTTGGTCACCATAGAAACGCTTCCTCCTTTTTATAGGTTTGTCTTTTGTTGCTGTAGCTTATTTTCATTTTGGGCTGTTGTGTTGAGGATATTAACAGGCCCAGACCGTTTCGAAGGTTACTGACTACAGTCACTTTATCTATTCATCAGTTTATTATTGTTCACATGCATTGGTGTTCCTTTGAATTAGTGAACGTACTGGTGGAATCTTTAGCACTTTGAATTGAAGTTAGCGGTAACATCATGCCGTTAGTTAACTAGATTTTAGTGCTACTTGTTTATGCAAATTTTTTATTTTCATGTGTTGACTGACATACTAAAGCACATGTGAAGTAATTGATTATAATTTTATATATAGTGTATATAAAAGATGAACTTAAAGGGATAGTTCACCCAAAAATGTAAATTCTGTTATTAATTACTCACCCTCATGTCATTCATATTTGGAACACAAATTACGATACTTCTGATCATTTCCAAGAGCTCTCTGACCCATGGACAGCAAGGATCCTACAACGATCATGGTCTAGAAACTTAGTTTTTACAGAAACCGTAATTTTACGTAAACAACGTATGCTGGTCTGTGTCAGCAGCTCCACGTGCATTCGTTGTTTACGTTCCGATCAAAGCATGCATATACGTCGTCATACTCTCCAAAATGATGCCAGGGTGATGTGGAGGAGATGGATTGTTGAATAAAGTCATTATTTTTTGTTTTCTTTGTGCACAAAAAGTATTCTCGTAGCTTCGGAAAATTACAGTTGAACCACTGATGTCTTTTGTTTTAACGATGGCCTTGCTACGTTTCTGGACGCTGATCGTGTAAGGATCCTTGCTGTCTATGGGAGGGTCAGAGAGCTCTTGGGATTCATTAAAAATATCTTAATTTGTGTTCTGAAGATGAGCGAAGGTCTTACGGGTTTGGAACGACATGAGGGTGAGTAATTAATGACAGAATTTTCATTTTTGGGTGAACTATCCCTTAAAGTCCTATTTACGTGAGTCAAAAACACTCTTAAGCTCAGCTAGTTGCATTTTGTATACATTTTAATAAATTAAATGTACATATAATTGTAAATAACATGCAATCGTGTCCAAAACATGACATTCTGTGCTTCACTTAATTCATTTATAGCACTATTAGCACAAACAGTAATATTTGGAGGATTGTACAGATCATTAAACATTGTTTGAGCAATAATCCATGGTTTTGTCTTGGAAAACATAATGTTACAGAGATATTCACACTGTATTCATTTACCTGAACAACAAGTTAATTGCAATTATTTTGTTTACCCAGTAATATGTCTTTGTGTATAAAACAACCGCCAGTCCTGACACTGTTTATTAATGCAACATTATGAAACGTTACATGAATTTATACAAAATTGTATGGTTATAATCACACGAATGAGACTTTCTCTCACTTGACACATTTTGGCACTTTCTTTTCTGAATTTTTAGTTTTGTTCCTTGTTTGCTTCAGGACAAAGAAGATACTGCAAAATAAAAATTGTGCTTGTGCAGACAAAGTTTTTTTTTTTTGTATATAAAGACAATAAGCTTTGTATTCTTGCACACTTTATTATGAGCACAAAAACATTAAAGGCCTGAAAAGTTATGAAAACATTTAATTAGTAAAAGGTTTTAATATTTCATATAGGCCATGTGTTCTTTTTGAATATTTTATCTGTTTGATGTAAATATCTTCAGTGACATCTTGTATAAACACATGCAGTTTAAACATTTTTAATCCAACAGTTTGAAAGGCATTAACATAAGCTGTAATTCACTTTTAAAGCTGAAACATTTGCTTTTCTGAAAGCTGGGTATCTGTATGTTTCTGTTGCAGTATTTTAAGGGACCGTTTCTCTGTAATGTGACCAACATTCAGTCTCCTTCCTAGGAAATCCATATCCAAATCACAGACAGCATGGTGAAATCTTGTGGCTGAATCCAACAGTTTTCTCACATGGCTTGTACATCCAAGAAAGACCATCTGTGTCCATCTAAAACAAGATGCATGTGGAGGAACCTTACAGATGGTATAGTTCCAGCCAGGACCAATGTGAACACTTTCTCTTTTCAAAAAGTGTGCAACCCAAATGTTCTGCTAGCCTCAGTAGTCTTTGAACTAACTTGATGTGCTCTTTTTCTGTCAGAGAACCACGCTAGCGGTAGCGCAGTTGTGTGCAGGAATCCCGATGCCAATCCGTCGATGGCAGGTGAACATCTTGCGCAATTCCGCCCTGAAAGGATCGTGCAGCCATGCATATAAAAACGGGTTACAACAAGAGGAACTCATTCCACACAAATGACACAATAGCTGGATCAGCAGGAAGTAGCGCTTGTCGATCAGGTCTATATCAATATCCCGAAGAACATTGAAGACACTTATCGGCAGCCAGCAGATCCCAAAAGCAGCGACGACTAAAGACACCAGACGAAACGTCTTGCGTTTCCGAGCCCGCTGGGCTTCCGCTTGGCTCTGGGTGCGATGACCTGGCACCACACAATTGCGAAGCTTCACTGAAATGCACAAGTAGGAGATGCAAAGTGCGGACAGAGGAAGGACATAGGTGATGAAGAGCGTGCTGTAAGCGTAGGCTAGCCGCTCTTTCTCCTGACCCATCCAGAACTCCTCGCAGATGGTGAAACCTTCGTCCTTGAACTCCACATGGTACGTGTGGGCCACAGCAGGAGCCACCAGACCACACGACAAAATCCAGATCCCAGACAGAAGATATGTGCAGGCCAGAACTGAGATGCGCTTCTTCAGGGGATGAACCGTAGCATAGTATCTAGAAGTTAAAATGACAGTTTTAGGCAACAAGTTAGTGATCATACATCTGTATCTGATGCAATAGTACAACTGGCCCCGGAGAGATGTTTTTGTCCTATTAATTTATTCAAAATTACATTAAAATATAATCAATGACTTCTCTTCTATTATGAGCACATTTTAAATGTATGAATTAAAGGGAAACTTCACTTAGAAATGAAAAAAATCTCTCAACATTAACTCACCCTTCTGCTGTTCTGTTTCCGGCCCACTGTTTATAGTTTTAAAATATTAGTAGTGTTATTAGTTATCATTAGTAGTGGTTCAATCCAATTGCATTATATGGACTCATGGATTACTTTTCTAAAAATCGGTTTCTGTTCTTTCTGAAGAGAGAGTATACATTTGGGACAGCAGGAAGGTGAGTAAATGTTGAGAGAATTATAATTTTTGAGTGAAGTATCCCTTTAAAATGCATTTTGATTGAAAAATGATGTCAAGGTGATACATGTTAATGAAGAAAAAATCTTAAAATGAGGAAGAATCGAGGCCTGAAAAGAGCCATTCAGCTCGCCAGCGGCGCTAAAATGCTATTTGATCTCTCCAAAAATGCTAATGAGTAACAAAGAGATCTGTTTACGCAGCGCAGCTGAATGTCAAAAAGTGAAAGGTCTTCTTGATCTATTAAAAGTTAAACTTGACACAGTCTTTTAAAAACATGTAGATCACGAGACGCTGTCTAGCCCTGTAGATGAGTAAACTGTAATGAGGACCTTGGAAACCAAAAACGCATTCTGTGTGAACAAGCCCATACCATGGTAAGTCAGTTTAGTTTGGAGGATTTGATTGGTCAAGGTTTATGTACTGTCTTGCTTAAAATTATTCTTTATCTGACTGATTTAGTATTATAATTGACACTATCATTTGAAATTGTTCATCTTTTTTTGTACAAAATGTACAAACTGAAAGATGGTATAAAAAAAGTTTCAAAAACATACTGTTTCGTTTTATACTATTTCAAGTAACGTGCTTCAAGCTAGAATTTTAAAAGAAGCTCTTGTACTCATTGACCCTGGGAACGCCAGCTGACTAGTGGCCCCAATTTGAGTTTAAAAGCTATGTGTTAAGATATAAAGACAACGATATAAGCTGAAGCAAATACAAAATGTTGCATGTTGATTTTGTAGAGACATAATCAGTGGGCTGTAAGAAATGGGATCAAAAAAACAAGACCTCTAAATGAACTCTTTTCATTCGCTTTAAGGTGAGAAAGACCTGTTGGATGTTTTGCTGCAAAAGCACACTCGTCAATGGATGCACATTTCCTTGCCTCCGATCCAGCCTAGATGAATGTGTCTGCATCCAAACCCCTACGATAATATCAAGGGCTTTTAAAGACAGTATTCATGTAGGCTTTATCACGTGTAAAAGCACAGAAGATGAACCACCAGACCATGTACAGGAGATGACGGCCTAGTCTGCGCAAAAAAAAGCCGTCACTGTAAGGTAAATGGATTCTTAATGCACCTATTATACTACAAGCCACCAATTTTTCATTTTCTTTGACTATAGCTCAGCACCATCATCCATCACTGACTCACGTCACATGCCTACGCAAGGAGGGAAGTGTGAAGGTTAAAGGCTCTACGAAGCCACAAAGTTAAGATAGAAGTTAAGATCCACTATGAATTTCTTTTCAGATTTGGGGATAAGAAATCCTGGTTTATTTTTGGTGTCCTTGGTATTTCACATATGGCAGCTGTTAGCCTTCCAGCTTTCTGTAGAATGTGTCGCTATACAATTGTGTCATATAATAGCATGGCATTTTTGTGTACCATAAGAACTTACAGGCTCTTCTTGCCCCCAGAAAAAGAGACCTTTATATTATTCAGTCATTCAAATTTAGATGAAATACACCAAAAAGGTTGCATGAGGGGTTGAAACAATCTGTATCTTTAGAAAATAAAAGTCTAACCAAGTTTAATCATGGACATATATCACAGAACACTTCTGTAATTTGTCTTGTTTTCTGACAGTCATTAAATTTTCCATCAGCGTCTTTTCTATGACAAATGATGTATTATGCACACTGATGTCATAATTAAAAAAAAAAATGTAAATGCTTGATTATTATTTCACTCTGTTATCTATTTTAAAGGTGACATATCATGAAAATCTAAATTTTTCCATGTTTAAGTGCTATAATCGGTTGCCCGGTGTATCTACCAACCCAGAAAACATGAAAAAGAATGACCCAGTAATTTTTTTTTGTTAAGCCTTTCTCTGCAAGCTTGTGAAAAAAGCAAGCCGCTCAGATTTCACTCCCCCCGTGATGTAGAAAGGGGATCTTATTATAATATTACTGCCCCTTAATCTGCAAGTTTCCACCCATGGCACCGCCATGTTTTTGCAAGCAATGGCGAAAGTTTAAGCAAAGAATGCTAACTGTTCTGTCGTTGGCTGCACAGATGAGCACAGAACACTAATTAGAGTCCCAGCTTCAGAGGAGACAAGAGAGCAGTGGATTTACTGATTTATTTACTGTATATTACGCTGATGCCACACAGATCAAATATAAACATGCAATTGATTTCCCAGCGGTTTACCTTCACAGACATAACCGACTGTTTTTATAACTCAGGTGTGTTTTTAACATAAACTGTATGACAGTTTAAGTGCAATAAGAGATGAAAGAGAACTTAGACATGAAAGAGAACTTAGTTTAGTACTGTGTGACAGCCGCTTTATCAAAAGTGTAAACTGATATGGCTTTAAAACGCATGATTTCAGCGCGATAAACATAATCTGCAAGTTTCCACCCATGGCACCGCCATGTTTTTGCAAGCAATGGCGAAAGTTTAAGCAAAGAATGCTAACTGTTCTGTCGTTGGCTGCACAGATGAGCACAGAACACTAATTAGAGTCCCAGCTTCAGAGGAGACAAGAGAGCAGTGGATTTACTGATTTATTTACTGTATATTACGCTGATGCCACACAGATCAAATATAAACATGCAATTTATTTCCCAGCGGTTTACCTTCACAGACATAACCGACTGTTTTTATAACTCAGGTGTGTTTTTAACATAAACTGTATGACAGTTTAAGTGCAATAAGAGATGAAAGAGAACTTAGACATGAAAGAGAACTTAGTTTAGTACTGTGTGACAGCCGCTTTCTGTGCACGTTCTTCGGATGTGTGAGCTCAGAAAACCGTGTATCAAAAGTGTAAACTGATATGGCTTTAAAACGCATGATTTCAGCGCGATAAACATTATAATCAGAGCCAAACAGATGTTTTTTAACAGAGTATCTGAGGAAGGAGCTGTAAAGGCAAAGCCCTATTCTGGAAAAGGGGCGGGGAGCAGCAGCTCATTTGCATTCAAAGAGACATGCACGAAAACAGCGTGTTTCTGCCTCCACTCAAAATATGCATTTTCAAAATGATATAATAAATGATCTGTGGGGTATTTTGAGCTGAAATCTTACAGACACATTCTGGGGACACCTGAGACTTATATTACATATTGTAAAAAGGGGCATAGGTCTCCTTTAAATATTTAAACTTATAATTGTATGTTGGAATGTCACACAGTAGTGTATGACTGTTTAGGTCTGCGACAAGGACAAGCTATAAAGCCATTTAAAAATGACCAAAAATAAATAATGAAGGCATGGTGAAAAGGTTTCCAAGACATTTTATTATGACCTTGCTATAGCAAAAAGAAAAAGTTAGAAATCTGTTCAAATAGAAATCTTTTAAAAAAATGTTCAAGCTAAAATCTATATAAAAGTGGCAAGTTTGAAGAAAAGTCGAATTGCTAGTAGATCAGAACAAACTTTAAATTTTAAACATTTAAATAAATAATGATAATTTTCAGATTCCAGTCATCATATTATCACCTGTTCTCTATTCAAACTGAACGACATGAGGCAGTAACTTCTATATTCCGCATAGATTTGTGTTGCGCTATACTGTACATATAAGGATATGTTTTCAACAACCTGTTACACAGACAAATTTAAACACTGCATATACTCTACCATTCAAAATTTGGGGTTAGTAAGATTGAAATAAATTAATATTTTTATTCAGAAAGGATGCATTAACTTTTTTTTTAATTCAAAAAAGTGACCTTACAAATGTTACAAAATATTTTTATTTCAAATAAATGCTTTTAAAATATATTCAAATAAAAAAAGTTATTTTTAAATTGTAATAATATTTCACATCACATTTTTGTAATTAAATAAAATTAGTATAAGAGACTTTTTGAGACTACGTGATGAATCCACTGAATCAATCTGTTACATAACCATGCTTCTAAAAGCCCCAGAATGCTAATAAAACATTGATGCAATGATGAATTAGTCACACTGTCAAGAGACAGATCAACTTTCACATGCATCACTCACCTGTCCACCCCAATAGCTGTCAGTGTGAAAACCGACACGTACACCGTCACCGGCTGAATGAGGAACACCAGGTAGCACATGAATCTTCCAAAAACCCACCCACGAGGGTTAAAAGCGTATGCCAGGGTAAAGGGCACGCAGGTAGCACACATCAGCATGTCAGAAAACGCCAGGTTACCGATGAAGAAGTTGGTCACGTTGTGCATTTTTTTGGTGTGGCAGATGACGTAAAGCAGCAGGTAGTTCCCAAAAACTCCAACCAGGACCACGAGAGCGTAGCAAGGGATTATGAGGGGTTTAAAAGACTGAAGGAGCTCCACACCAACAAACTGAGGACTGCGCTTCGATGTGTTCGTCGACTGCAGCATGACTTCATAGATTTGGCCCCTGCTGGAATTCTCCATGGTGAGGTTTTCCAGGCAACACGAAGGCACGGGAGTGCTGAGCCATTCACCACTACTGCCATCCATCCTTACGACTGGAATACTGCTTGTAGAGACCTAAACAGTGGGTGTTTTGGCATAATAACAAGGAAAGAGATACGCTTTGGTTAGCTTTCTTCATAACTCAACTCTAGCTGAATTTTAAACCATTAACAGATGGATTGAAATGTCTGTGAAGAAGAAGCGAGCCAGTTGAGTGCGACTTGTGGAGGCGTGTGGTACCAAACATCCATTTTGCGATATATAGGTGCTAGGTTTTCTTAAAAGTTGAGTTGGCTCATATAATGAAGTGACTTTTTCAAACTCTAATGAGCACAGCTACAATTTTCCTCAAAGTTCCTGTTCTCTATACCGAACCACTTTCCACACAGCAGTTCTTCTGAACATTAGAGATGCAGGAGTCACATCTAAAAGCTCTTCATTACAGCCTTGACTTACTTCGGATGGCTGGTTTCCGTAGCAGGTTATTCATAAAAAGAATCAGCGGGACTTGAGATCTGCGTGTTCCTTTCAGTGTATGCTCTGTCAATCCAAACAGCAGTAAACAGAAACTTGTAAGGACACTAATGAAAGCCAGCATGATTTGAGTCAAAGATGTGTCTCTGCTGCAATCACATATGGCCGTTGCTGTTGAAATGCAAATGAGCCTCATTCACTCGCTCCTTCTAATTAAGTGAGTAAATGGTTCATAGATTAAGCATAAATGCTCTTTGGTCTTTACTGTAACAAGCTACAGCAAAGCAGTGATAGTGTTTTCTGTTTTTGTCTCTTTACCAATCAGTCAGTTGTTGCAAAAGCAGTAGATACGGCTTAATTAATTGTATCTTAAATGCTATCTCATCATCGTCAATTTCAATCAGGGTTTTCTTTTTTAGTGGAACATATTTTCACATTTGACATACATTTAAAATACCTATTTGTCAGGGATCAATTGTGGTCCTTGATTTATACATGCATCAGACAAATGAAGCACCAATTGCTCTTCACAGATTACATGGTTTATAAATTGTTTTATGGACAAGACAGTACTAAAAATGGCCATACGTTCAGTTCAGTTAATTTTAAACAGCAGGATGTGCTGAATGCCAGATACAACTTATTTAATTAGCTCAAATCTTCATTAAGCACATTCAAAGACAAGATTGAATAAGCATCCCCAGGGTGTCGACTGGGTTAGATGAAGAATAAATTAACAAACCCTCACTGGGTGAGATATGGAATATTTACAATGCATTTTCAATATTTGAAATTAAGTGACATTAAGCAATTATCACAGTAACCTGAAGTGACCGTGTAAGTTGTCTAAAGGCTGTGCTAGTGTGCTAGTTTTACACTTCCTTCTTACCTTGCGACTTGTTTGATAGTGTTGAAAAAAGTTACCATGGAGGTTTTCTTGTTTAAACCACTTGTTTAACCCAGACAACTGGGGATTGCTTTGAAAAGCTTATTTTCAGTAATTAAATTAATGTCTTTCAAAGCACAGATCCACCATTTTGCATCATTACTTTTAACTGTTCACTAAGGTCTCTGTATGGCATTTATGTTTTATGTAAAAATAAATAAATACAACCTTTGATTATTGCCTTGGTTATTTTTATGACAAGAGTAAAAATAATTGTATGTAGTTGTGAGAAACAAAGTTAACACATAATGTAATTATGAAAAACAAACACAAATCTTTTTCACAAAATGTTACTATTTCACCCAGCTCTTTATTGTAACTTGTTGCTGTATAATAAAGTGCATGACTTGGAATAAAGTCCAATAAGTCCTTTTTAATAAATCCACAAGGAGAAACCACCAACAAAGATTCAATACCGGTCCTTGAGCTAAGGGAATCTAAGGGCTTAAATACACTGGGAATGTAATTGAGGAGAAACAGAACAGGTGTGGGAACTAATTAATCAAAAACTGTGGAAAATAACAAGGGAACTGAGGCGGAGACAGAGACCTGGAAGACCGTGGTGGAGCTGAAGCATCTGAGGACAAAGGCAGAGCCGGAGGGAAGGAGGAGCCAGACAAAGCCCGAGGGATAGAGGGACAAGGCAAAGCCGGAGGCGTGGAATTCCAGCCCGGTGGAGCTGATGGGTCTGAGGGCATAGGTGGAGTCCGGGGTTCGGAGGCTGGAGGCAAAGGATCCTCATGCATAGCAGGTGACTGTAAGGCCTGAGGCAGATCCACACCACAGGGTGGAGCAGACTGAGGATGAGCCAAGAGACTACAGGTGTGTTCAACTTGAAGCAGCACTGTGCAGACCAGACCGATTGGCCAGAGTAGCCGCAGTAGTTGCAGTCGGGGGTGGAATTGAAAATGGAGATGTCAAGTCGGACACTTTCTGCTCCCGGTAGTGACGCTCTCATGATGTTTGCAATGCATACACTATCACAAATGTTTGTCAAATACACAGACGTTTCAGAAACATTTTCATGACCAACAGACACACTTTTTTTATACTGTTTAATACAGCACCATCTGTTCAGGAATAAAGTTAAACATAAACATGAATATGGGTGAATATGCTTTTATCAGTGTTTTTTGATAAATGTGACTCAATATAACAGTGCAACTACAGTAAAAAAGCTTTTACTGTTCTAAAAACACAGATTTGAGAGCATTATTAGAATTGAGGATGTTAGAATAAACCCGAAACACACGTGATCGTTGTCATGTGGGGAATCTGGCCAATCATGAAATAGCAGCGTCGTCATCAAAGCTCCTGCAGACGCTCTGGTGAAACTGTTGAGGTACTTTGATGCTGTCACGCATCCGGTCCATGAACTTCCGTCTGCTTACCATCAGAGGTCACCCTTTCCTTTACATTGACTCTCGCACTACACTACTGTTGCTTATCATCCCGGAGTACATATCCCATCATTCATTGCACTGATTGCACTCAGCACGGATTGCACACAGCTGTTTTCACTGATTGCACACAGCTGTTTCACATCACTCACTCACTATATAACACGCACTCAAACTACCACTCACTGCCGAGTATTGCTTAGCCTGTTAGTTTTCCTAGTTCCTGTTATCCTTCCCGTGTTTCCTTGTTTTGCCTTGCCTTGCCAGTTTTCTCGGTTCTGATCTTTGCCTGTCTCCTTGGATTTATCCCTCTAGTCTTGCCCCTGTGATTCTGTCTGCCGATCGTTGACCTATGCTAGCCCTAGGACTATTCTTGTGTTTTGCCCACCATATACCTGTTTGCCTTTGCTCGACCCTGCCTGTTATGACCACGTCTCTGTCTTCTGTTCAGAATAAAGCTTGCACATGGATCCACATGTCTCACGTCTTGTCAGCCCCATAACAGATGCCACACGTGACAGTGACATGGCGTCTGTGCTGTCTCAACTCGGACAACATTTATAACCGGCATGTACTGCTTCAAGTCAGTTGCAGATCGGTCTGTGCAACGCTGCATGAAGTCAAACACACCTTCTGCTTGTTCGATTTCATGCGGCTGCCATCTGACAAAAGCAATACATTCTGGTTAGAACATTTGTCCGACTTTGATCATCGCTGCAGCCGCCCTACGATCACATGTGCCATCAAAGTATTGCGAGAGCAAAATGAGACCAGCCGCCTAGGTCAGGTGCTGCAGTTGCTCAAAATCAGTCAAAATACAGGGGGAACACAATCAGGGAGAAACAGAACAGGTGTGGGAACTAATTAATCAAAAAGCATGCAAACTAACAAGGGAATTCAGGCAGGTGAACAGACAAAAAACCAAACCAGAACATAACCGAATATAGCTAGATGTGGCATTTATATGAAGTTGGAAATGCAAGCATATCCAACTTTTCCATATACATACTCATATAGGGCAATATAAACTAGCACATCTTAACTACATGATTTGTTGTATCTTTGCAAAATGTAAAACTATATTATCATCCAGCTCTAATATGCTAAATGTAACTATAAGGCATAAAAATATTAAGACATTACAAACATTAACATCGTTATTTTCTCTGAAGCTGCTTTAAAAATAATGAGTATTGTGAAATTGCTATACATCCAAGATGTAGATGAGTTTGTTTCTTCATCAGAACAGATTCAGAGAAATTTAGCATTACATCAATTGCTCACCAATGGATCTTCTGCAGTGAATGGGTGCCGTCAGAATGAGAGTTCAGACAGCTTGAATTTTAGATAAGTAAAGGTTTGAAGTTAAAACCATCTTAATTATGGATTTGCTTATTACAATTATACAGCTTTTCCCTTTACAAGTTAATTGATGGACTGGAGTCATGTGGATTATTTTGATGTTTGTATCGGCTGTTGAAGTTGGACCAATGGACCAATGAAGAGGATCTATCTGTTTTGATGAAGAAATAATCGTCTAGACATACTGGATGGTCTGAAGGTGACTACATTTTTAGCAAATTTAAATTTTTGTGCAAACTATTCCTTTGAGCTATTTTAGACCTAATATCAAAATGAAAAAAAATATTTGTGGACACTTTTTTTAGCTGTATTTCTCAGGTCTAATTATAACACATTGAGCAGAAGCTTGTTTGCTATGAAAATGCTTGCTTCTGAAATGCACCCAGACTAAACAGCTTTTTATATCTATATTATAAGTAAACAGGCACAATAGGTATGTGTTATTCTCAACCTCCAGCATACTGTGAGTTTCTTTAAACCGGGTGATAGAGTCCCCTCCCTGTGGGTGCTTCAATTATGCTCAGCCGGTAAAAACACAGACTAATGGAACTATTGAGGTGCTTAGTGCTCACGTTAGAGCGAGAGCCCAGGTGAACATAACTGAATCGGTGTCCCTGCGGTTTGCCGCACAATGCTATCAAAAAGGTTTTTATGTACAAAATAACTGAAACAAACCAAAAATAGCTGAAACAACCTAAATAAAACTAGGGCTGGGCCATATACCTAAAATTTTATATCTCAATATTTTTCCAAATTTTGATTATAATCTATATGTATCTCGATATTTTTCATTTGCTCTAAACGCATAAAAAAACCCATGGTTTTGATAAAACAGCTATTAGTTCGAAGCACATTCAAAATAT